CGGAATTACCCTTTTTTTTATTTTCCACGTGGCAGCATTAGAAGGGGCCACATCCCTCCACCATAATGTCCTACGTAGTTCACCATGATAAATTCCAATTGGCATAAATGAAAACAAAACATGATCAATATTATAAGTTAAAACAACTAGATTAAAACATAATAAGAATTGGATTTTAATATAAATTAAAGTAAAATCTATATTAATTATTGTTTTTAATAAGCGTATTTAAGTTTAAAGTGGACAAGTAAAACTGAGTTAAAAATAACTTTACAAGCATCTTACTAAAACACTAGTTGACAAGTGGCTTATGGAGTAGCTTGGTGAAATAGCTGATAAGTAGCTTACAAGTGTCGGTGTATAAGATTTCTATCCCATCAAGTAATTTTTAAGATAAACATGGTAACTTAATTAAGTAATAAATAAAATATCTTTATTGAATATAATTATAATCACGGTAAAATATAGTAAAGGAAAGTTGAGTCTTCTTTCTTCTCTAACCAAAATCAATTCATAGTTATCTTCTTAATTAACCAAGTTTATTTGATTTTCTAAATCTAAATATTTTTTTTCATCAAAAGTAATTTTCAATGGCACAAATAATTTCTTAATTATCATTGTTTTTTTCTTTTGAAATTTTGGCAAAGTCATGATCCGTTCACACAAGAAGAAGATAACTATGAAATGTGTGTACGGATCATGACTTTGCCAAAATTTCAAAAGAAAAAACAATGATAATTAAGAAATTATTTGTGCCATTGAAAATTACTTTTGATGAGAAAAAAAATTTAGATGTAGAAAAACAAATAAACTTTCTTAATTAAGAAGGCAACTATGAATTGATTTTGGTTAGAGAAGAAAGAAGACTTAAATTTCCTTTACTATATTTTACCGTTTAAAAATTATTTGATGGTGTAGAAAATCTTATACATGGACCGTGCACAAAAAACTCTTTTTTATTTAATCTATGAATAGAAAGCTAATTTAATTTGTTTTTTATATATAAATCTCAAGAAAAGCAAAAGAAAAATATCTCCCTCCACTAATTTCTTTGGCTAATTTTTTTGTATAGTTATTAATTGTTGGTCATTTTCATTTGGATTAATTCAATCTCTTTTTCCTTTCTTATATCGACTCATATTACATGAGCATCTTACTAAAAATATTTGTCTCATATTACTTGATCACTTACTAAATCAAGATATAATTAATTATTTTTTCCAGTTTATCCCTATAATTAATATGACACTTGAAAGTTTAAACAAATTTTAAAGATCTAAAATTTCTCTTTATGAACAAAAAGCAAAATAATAAATTGATCAATCCATTAATGATTTCTTAATTATCGTGTAGAATAAAAAGTGTTTATCTAATATCGGACGGAATGAGTAAGTGGTATAATTAATTAACTTTTTTTGTCTCATATTACTTGATCACTTACTAAATCAAGATATAATTAATTATTTTTTCCAGTTTATCCCTATAATTAATATGACACTTGAAAGTTTAAACAAATTTTAAAGATCTAAAATTTCTCTTTATGAACAAAAAGCAAAATAATAAATTGATCAATCCATTAATGATTTCTTAATTATCGTGTAGAATAAAAAGTGTTTATCTAATATCGGACGGAATGAGTAAGTGGTAAATGTTTTAGCCACGTTGGTGCCATGTAACACAACAAAAGGCGCCGCAGAGATATAATCGAAGCTTTTTTAAGACAATGAATTTACGAAATTAATGCCTTTTATTTTCCACGTGTCAGTATTCCAACTGGACACGTGTCAGTACTTTTTTCCACCTTTTCTCTCTTTTAATTTAAAATATATTATTCTCTGTCTATTTTATGTCAATCGTAAGTTTTGAAAGTATTTTTCTAAAAAAATCTATTCCTAAATCAGGTACAATCATAGTAATATACAATAATAGCATAAAGTTAGATTATTTTTTTTAATTATTATATCTGCCGAGGAGAATTGCTTTTTGCACCACTAACAATTTTTTGTTTTTGTTTTATGTTTTTTTTACACATTGTTCATTCTTATTATTTTCTTTCGTTCATTTTGTAAGTGATCAAGAGCTCTTAGTTCCTTTATAAAAGCCGTAACACTTAGGGATATCAAAGTGATCTAGCCAATTTGACCTTATGTAGAGCAGAATGCGAGAACGCGAGAGGACATATTGAATTTTTGCGAATTGAGTACATGAATCAACTCTTTCTTTAAGTCGACTTTAAGCTTATATCGATAATAACCAATTTGTGAATACGTGCTTTTAGAGTCCAAATCATTTCATGATAAAGTATATGAATCGACTCTCCGTTCAAGTCGATTCTAGCTATTTTAGTTATGTTTTTTTTTATGTTATTTATATCAATAACCGGTTTATGAATGAGTGCGTTGGAAGTCCAAACCCGCGCCCCGCCACATTGCCATCATGTGCCATGCCTCAATATGTGACATTGTCACACACGTGGTCTTTGGTGATACAGTACAATAGTGGGAGTGTGCATTTTTTTTCTGATTTGACATGACACGTGTCACTCATTCACTACCCTCTCTTTTTTCTTTTTATTTCTTCTCTTTTCTCTTCACTTTTAATTTTAATTTTATTTTTTTTGGTCTGCAGTTTGTTTTTCATTTCAAAATGAAGGACAAATTTACGCCGCCGTGCAAGGCGGAGGAAGGGAAGTTTGCTGGTGGAGATGGAAATTATGAACTGGTGGATTTTGAGATGGAAGCAGCACAAGCATTGGCTTGTTTAGCTCATCCAGGGAGTAGAAGTGATGAGTTTTCAGTTCCAGGACCATCTGGTCGCTCTGAGGTATTTTTTTTTTTTTGAATAGAAGAACTTTTTTTCATGTTTATTTGGAGTTATTATAGTCGATTTCAACTAGTTTGTGATTTTGTAAGTATATTGTGTGTGTGTGTTTTGAAATTTTGATTTTGGAGTGTTATGTAGTGAATAATGAGTTGAAATGGGTAAGTTTATGATGATGTGTGTATATGTATGCAGACATTGGTCATATGCGAATTTGTGTATTTGTATGATGATTATTGAGTTGATTTCTCATATGGTCGTGTTCAGGTAATAGTTGGCGATTGGCTATTTGAAGTTGTGAGTATTTGGAAAAAGTAGTTTTTGTTTTCAAATTTGAAAAATGATATTTGAAAATTGGAGTTGTGTTTGGGCATGAATACAAATTAGAGTTGTTTTAGAATTTTTGTTAGTAGTTTGAAGTAAAAAAGTGGTTTGTTCTTCAAATTTCGGAAAAATCACTTTTCTTTCTCGATTCCAATTTCCTTCAACAAGGGAAGTGTCTTTCTAAGATAATAGCTATTAGTTAAGTTACTATACCAGAAATCAACTCGATGATTATTGTACACTGTGACTTCCACGATTGGAATTGTAGCCCTCTAAAACTCTGCTAGTAATCTTGGTTACAATTTGGGGTGCTTCTGTTTTAATGAAAATTTTGAGTAGTGAATAGTTTTGTTTATCGTTCTTGTGCTTCGTTTTTCACATTATTTTGCTCTGTATGGTTTGGTATGCTTCCTCTGTTATTTGTTATGTCTTAGTTGGTAAGCCTTGTTTTACCTATGTATTGTCCTTTTCAAACTGCCTTGTCATGTGTTGAGCCGAGGTCTTTCGGGAACAACCTCGCTATCTTCACGAAGTAGGGGTAAGGTCCAAGTACACTCTACCCTCCCAGACACCACTTGTGGAAATACACTGGGTATGTTGTTGTTGTTGTTGTATGTTTGCTGAAACGACAAAATAGGGTGCCTTGTTTTTACTTTGAAATCTACAATTTGGGGAATTTTGCAAGCAAAGGCGGATGTACGATTAAAGCTACTGGTTCAGCTGAGTTTAGTAACTCTGCCCCTGACCCTGTACATGTGTTTATGTGTTTTGGGTATATGTCCTTTTCTGAAGAGCACATGAGCTGTAGTTACAACTACATATCCGGGTACTATTTTCGGTGCAGATTGTTATACGGATTTAATAAGTCTGAACAAATATTAAATGTTGAACCCGTTAATTCAAATGATCAGCGAGTATAGTTGCATCCTGAATCCGTGAAGTTCAAATCTTAGATCCGCCGATGTAAATTGCACCGGATTCTTTAACTTAAATAACTACTAAGTTCTCCGGTATAAACCAGTGGAAAAGATAATGCACATATTTCAAACATAAGTAGCTCAATGAGCTCATTAGAGGCAGTTCCAAGATTTGAACTTGAATGTTTTCAATCTGTAAGATTCTTTGGCTAAACTCATTGTACTTTACAAATAATGGGTTCAAAATTTAATATTTGTTCAAAGTTTTTGGGATTTTTCACATATATATATGTCTGGTTCTTGTCGAAAATACTAGGTTAAGTTGAACCCATTGTGCAAAGGTGGATGCAGCCTTTGGATCGTATGGTGTCTTCACTTAATCTTGGAAAAAATAAACAGTTTTCTTGATTTAGTTTGCAATGGTAAAGCCTTCTTGTGAATTTCAAAGAGTTCTATATTAAACTCCACTTGTTTACTATCTTTTCAGCAAGTCATTTTAATGGAAAGCTGTTAGAAGAAGATGTAAGTTTCCTCTAAGAATTTCACCAGGTAGGGGGTTTTCAAGGACAACAATGCAAGGTGTTTTACTATTAAAAGTTCTAATACTGTTTTCTTTTAATGAATTCTCACTAAATAGGTTTGCCCATATGAGTTCCATGTTATATCTTTACTTGTGGTTTGTCCTTAGAACTGTTAGAGAGGGGTGGCCGAGACAGTAGATGCAAAAGATGGTTTGGAAAAAGAGCTTGCTGGGCACCCAAGGGTGTGGCCTAGTAGTCAATGGGGTGGGTTGAGAAGCTTGAGGTCTCAAGTTCAATTTCCAGCAGAGACAAAGACACAATGATTTCTTGCCATATGTCCTTACCTTGGTGGACAGATCTACCTAGTACCTGTTGTTGGAGGGAGGTGATAGGTATTCAGTGGAATTAGTGGAATTAGTCGAGGTGCATGAAAGTTGGCCCGGACACTATGGTTATCCATAAAAGGAAAGAAGAGCTAGCTGGTCTGACATGATTTTTTGGGTTAGTATATGAAATGGTGGTTGGATTGTTAGTTCCCATGTTTTGTTCTGTGGCTTTTTGGGTAGGGCTGGAAGCTTTGTATGCCATTAAAGCTTTGATTAATGCATGAAGGAGGACTGAAATGGGATGAGACTTTTAAGTGAGGAGGAATTGTCCTGTGATGGGGCTAAAGATTGGTCTTTCTGCACTTGAAGAAAACCGTTCTGTTTTTGTGGAAAAACCGCTCCTTTTGGATCATTAGCTTGGCTATGGTTATGGACCTCTCTGAAATGGCTCTCATTTTCAGCTGCATGATGACGAGAGGAATTATGTTTGCGGGAAGGTGAGTGTTAGTGATGTAGTCTGAGTATGGGTGGTTACTGGTGCAGCAGTGAGGGAGGAGTTAGTAGCCGTTGTAAATAGTAGGTTATCAGTCGGTTTCTCATTGGTTAATTGCGGTGGTGGATCTGGTGGGTCCGTAGGTGGGGTTGTGGGACTGCTGGTGTTTCAAATAAATCAATGGAGAGCATGTAGTGAGAACTTACATATTTCCTTTAATATTTTTTTATAGCTCGAGCACATTATTTAATAATATCTTTTAATTTTTCATAATTATATACTCATTGATATTGGTACTCGCGCGAAGTGCCTATCGTAAAACTAGTACTCTATATTATAATTTCATGCACACTGGCATATTCAATGTATGTTTCTATCTAGCATTATTCCATGCTTGGGCAGAATTCAAGAATCAATTCATAAGAAAAGACGGACCATGGTTATCTAGCATATTCTTGCTGTAGTTGGGTGTATGCCCATTCATAATATCAGCTATATCTAATGGATAATACTACTCTTTAGTTTGCATGGATTTACTCCAGAAAACTGTTGGTTCCTGAGTATAGAATTGAAAATGTGGCTGGAGGATAAAAGAAAATCCTAAGTAGGGGTTTCTCTCATTGTTATCGTCTCTTTATAGGAGGTGGAAACATCTTTTCAAAGTGTTGATGAATCATGAAGTTCAAACTCAGACATTACAGTTTCATGTATGTATTAATGATCTGTTTTTTGAAACCGGTAATTTCAGTGCTCCTAGAAAATCAACTATCTGTACTTCATCATCTATAATACGTTCTCTACACCAAAAACATAGAGATACAATACAATTTGACTTGATCTTCTGAAACGGAATTAAAAGTATCTTCAAAGATCCTCCCGTTCCTCTCTATACACCACAACTTCTACCGACTCATACTGCCTCCACTTCTGTTTCAGCAGCTGAGAAGGTCTCCTGTATGTTATGGCATTTCCATTCCTCCTTGCTCATACTATGGAATAAACCCCTAAACCTGTGCTGTAACTTCGCAATGTAGAAAGAGTTAAGACACTTAAGACTGTTGGTTTCTTCTGCCTCCTGGCATAAAACATATCTTGAGGCTATTTGTATGCCCCTTCTGTGTAAAGCTTCATGTGTGAGGCATGCTTTCCTGGCCACCAACCATGAAAAACACTTACCTTGTCATGTGTGCTTATAAGCCTATTAAGGGCTTACATGATGAGCAGTATCAAATGACATGTCTTATCAGTACCGTATAGCATTTCGACATTTCCATACTGAGAAATAGATAAAGCTATATCATATTCTAATTTGGAACTGCTATAAGGATTTCGGGATGCCATTTTGAGTTTCAATTTCTTGAAGTCATTCATCTATGAAGATTGAGGTTAAGATCCCTTCCCAACTCTCTTCTTCATCATGGATGCTTGATATTAAGAATTTGTCATTGCAATGACACCTTCGCTACTCTGGAACCACTCCCTTTCCCTCCACCATTGCTATAGTACGTGTCGCCAGTTTAGTGGAAAGCTGTTAGAAAGAGCTGTAAGTTTCCCTCCACTAAGAATTTCACAAGGTAGGGGGTTTCAAAGGACAAGAATGCGAGGTGTTCACTTTTAATGATTCTAATACTTTTTTCTTTATTTAATTCTTGCTAAATGAGTTTACTCTATGGTAGGACGTAGGAAAATAGAGCAGAATTTAGATAACAAAAAAAGCATATATCTTTGTGCTGCTTGGCTCTTGAAACTTTACACAACTGACATGAGTGTCTTCTTGAGGCAACCTATCTGAACTTACAGTTGTGAATTATTGGTTGCTCATAGTGGAAGTTAGACCACCATTTCCATAATTTAATTGCTCGATCTAGCAGATGAAGTTGTATCATTAACATTGTTGTGTAATTGCTGGCGTTCTCTCTTATGGAGAAGGCACAAGTTAGAGTAGTTTGTCTAGTGCAACGTGGGCTTAATTTTAGCTGCTGACGGGATTTTTCCGTCTCTAACAACTTTCTTGAAGACATATTAACACTTTTATCTAATCCAGTTTCTTGATGAGCATTTAACTCTCATTTAGAGGAAAACAGTACTCTTAAAAGAAAAAAATAAAGGATCTTGTTATCTTTATCTAAGCAGACACATATATTGACTTTTGATACTATTACCAGATCTTTTGGAGGAGTTGAGTAATTCTTTTGCTTTTAACAGGAACAAGTAATAACGATACAGTCCGAGCAGGAATCTGAACCAAAAACAAGTCCTCAACATGCTCTGAACTATCCACCAGTTGCCAGCAGAAGATCGAGGCAGAATTTGACTGAGGTACTGTTTCAGTATTGATCTCTCATCCTTATATCCTTCAGGGTGTCCCTGCATTGTTGCTTGATTTTGGTAATCTCAGGAGGAGAAGGAAGAACGAAGACTCTGTCGTGTGTTAGCAAATAGAGAGTCTGCTAGGCAAACAATTCGCCGGAGACAGGTATGCTCATCTGAGGGATTCTTTTGGTAACATCAGTTTATAAGCAAATCTCAATTAACTAATTTGAGTTGTATGGTTGTTGTTTATTCTCTCCCTGCGGAAGCTATATGTTAGAAATTATGTCTGCATCCTGTTTGCTTGTTAATAGAGTACTTAATGACATGGCAAGGTCTTAATTAATGCAATAGCACTTCATGTGAAGTCGTGCATTTCCTGTGTTTGTATGAGAACATATCGTGCTCATGTAATTATTTCTTCTTAGGCAATGTATGAAGAATTGACAAGAAAAGCAGCTGATCTTTCATCGGAGAACAACAATCTGAAGAAGGTATTCAGAATTTCTTTTCACTTGTATTATCCGAGTTTTGACAAACAGCTTAGTTGTGAAAGTAATGTATAACTTAGTCCATGCGATCTTAAGATACTCGTCCTACTATTACATTCTTTTTATGGTATGCTACAAATCGCCACGAACTCATTTTTTGCTGGATGATGTTTGTTACAATTAGAAAAAGGAGCTGGCAGCTAAGGAGTATGATTCTTTGAAGAACGAAAATGCTACCTTAAGACGACAGGTAATCCTGGTTTTATCGAGGAAAATTTCAACTTAGAAATTCAGACTATGAAAGAGAGATATAATCCACCTGAACAGTCACATGTGAAAAACTATAACGAATGACTTCGGTGTTCTGCAGATGTCTAGAATAGAGAAGGCTGAAGCAGAGGGAACAGATGGTGCTTCTAGGTCGACACCTGTAGAAATCTCCACTACAAGTCCAGCTCCAGCTCCAACTCCAACTCCAACTCCGACTCCGACTCCAGCTCCGACCTCTCTTTTTAACCAGCCTCCTATATTACCTTTCTTTTGGCCATCCATTGTTCAACCTTTCAACTTATTACAGTGTAGTACCCAAAATATTCCTGAAATTGCATCAGTGGTGCCTTCACCTACTGCCGGCGAATTAAATTCTATTAACAGACAACAGAGTTCAAATCCAGGAAATCCACTGTATGTACTTCCCTTCCCTTGCTTGATCCCATTTCATCCTCAAAATAATCCATTTCTTCCTTGGGCCTCGAATGTCACTGGAAAACATGCCGAGACTTCCTCAGCCCATCAGTGTACTTCATCATATATGAACATGGAGAACAATCAAGCAACAACTACCCAGGAAACCGAGACGGAACCTATGCTTGGTTTTCCACCAGACTCGGGTGCATCTGAGAGAAGGCAACAGCGCTCTAGAGAAATGGTCCCTATGACTGGTCCCTCTGGACATCAACAAGACGATACCCCTGATCCCAATGCTGTCTCTTGTACCGCGGGACATGGAGGAGATACTTCAGAAAAGACATCTCAAGAATCCATCATCTGCTCTAGCGAAAAGACAGCAGATGCCATTGCAGCAGCAACAGAGGCTCGGAAACGAAGGAAAGAGCTACTGCATTTGAAATGCCACCATTAAACTTCCCAGTCATGAAGTTTGGCGAAAAATATCGATTTGTTGATGGCCAATCACTACAGTAGAAGGTGCACTCCTTTTCGGTTTTTGTCTTAGTATTATATAAGCCATCTTTTAATTTCAGTAAGAGATAGATCATGATGTAACGGCAGCAAAACATTACAAGTTTTGTGAGAATTTTGGTTTTGCTAAGAGTAAATATTAGAAGAGGATGTATAATATATGTGCTCCTGCATTTTGAACATTTCAAAAGTTTTAGTTGTTAAAGTATTATCACCAGTATAGAATGTCCCTTTCTAAATTTTGAAATAATTTCAGTCAGCCCCTCATCAATACTCACTAACTAGCTAATTTGACGCGAGCCCCTCATCAGGCGAATTAACAGTGGCATAGTCAGAAATTTCATGAAGGGAGTACAAGAAACAGTAAAAAAAGTGGGAAAGATGAAAACCAAATGATTCAAAATCTTAGTTATCTTATTGAACAATATTTAGCTTTTAATACACAACATTAAATAATGGCCTATAAACTAAGATAGGACTTTTAACATAAGGTTTATTCCCACCCCACACCAAAGAACTAGAAATGTACCATGATTTATCTCTAGTGAACTTTCCCTTCAACTCAACTCTAAATGATTTTTTCTCATTCACTTTACTAAATGACAAAATATTTGGCACAACATTTATAGAAAGACACTTTGGTCCCCTAACTTTTGCTTTATACACAGCTTTGCCATTCCCAACATATGTCACAGTTCTATAGAAAATTGCAGAAATATCACTTTCATTTGGATTTTGAAGTTGTAAGTGTATTGAAGGGTAATTTAGTCCATCTGCCCCTAATGCTTTTGGAATGCTTGAACAGTTGTACATTTTGCTTCCAGTGAGTAAAGCTATGTTTGTACTGTTATAGCCTTCTTTGCAAAAATAGCCTATATATGAGTTAATATCAAGATCATATATTAAACCAGGATTAATTGCCTTTCTTGGATTTATTTGTCCTGCTCCTGAGGCTAATTCAGCTCCCACTGGCCTAATCTTCATAGATGTAGCTGAAAATTAACAAAAAAAAAAGTTCATTAACTTCTATATAACAACAATATAAAATATTTTTTATACTATTAGGTCAAACATTGATGAAGCTAACGACTAGCAAAGGAAGGTTGGTTAAATCTTAAATACTTATAGTAAAATAAACAAAAAAAAAAAGTTCATTAACTTCTATATAACAATAATATAAAATAATTTTTACACTATCAGGTCAAACATTGATGAAGCTAACTATTGGCGAAGGAAGGTTGGTTAAATCATAAATACTTATAGTAAAATTACTGATTTCGCCATTTAGTTTGTCTCATTTTTTGTGATACACTATGATTCAGTAAAGAGTTACGAAAAAATAAAAATACTTTTGAAATGAGAAGTTTAAAGTTAAATTGTTTCTAAGTAAGGAAGTATAACATTCTTTTTGAAATAGACTAAGAAGGAAAGTATCACACATAAATAGTGACAATGGGATTCTGAATTAATTTTTACACTATCAAGTCGCATAATGAGCACCTACCGTCTATGGAGGATGGTTAGGTGAACATTCTTCATCAAAAAAACTATACAATGTTGTGTATATATAGGTCATATATTATATTTTATACACAAATATTAAATTCTGAATATACAAGTGATACCAAGAAAATAATAGGAATTAACCACAAAATTATTCTCTATATAGTCAAGCGAAAGCTAACATGATTTTTTTGATAATCCGTAGCTAAAAGTTGTATGTCATTAATTCATGTTTTTTTTCTTTACCATGCATGAAATTCGTGGTATCGTCACTAAAGCCACCTAAAAAGATAACTAGATGTAACCATCCATAATAAGTACTCAGATTAATAACCCGAATTACACGTGTATGAGTTTGAGACAAGTGTCGAAAATGTACCGGTTGTCATGAGAGCAGATTTGATAGCTGCAGGAGACCAATCAGGATGAAAGGATTTAACATAAGCAGTGGCTGCAGCAGCATGTGGACAAGACATTGAAGTGCCTGAATCAACATTATACTTCACCATTCTCTTGTCTTTAGTTCTATCACTATTGATAGAATTCAATCCTGTAAATGCAGCCAAGATGCTCAATCCAGGGGCAGAAATGTCAGGCTGTCACAAATAATAATAATAATATTACTTCGTATCAGAGCAGTAGTGGAGTTAGAATTTTTACTAAAGAAAGTCAAAAGGCAAACACATGTTGATAAAAAAAATCAACAAGATTTAACATATAGTAACCAACACCAACATACCCACTGTTAGTCCATGGGTGACATCTGAAGAGGGTAAAGTATATGTAGTGTAAGGGTAGTCAAAACGTAAACACACAGCAACAAAAAGTCAAAGAGATTTAACATATAGTATACAACAACATATCCATTATTATTACATGGGTGACATCTAAAGAGGGTAGACTGTACGTTGTCTAAGAATAGTCAAAACGTAAACACACGACAACAAAAGAGTCCAGGAAATTTAATGTATAGTATACAACAACAACACCCATTGTTATCCCACGGGTGACATCTGAAGAGGGTAGAGTGCATGTAAGTCAAAACATAAACACACGATGGCAAAAAAGTCAAAGAGAGTTTAACATATAGCATACAACAACACCCAGTATGTGATCACATGTGGAATCTGGAGATAAAGAAATTATTTTCGATAAACCCTTGACCTTTAACATATAGCATATATACATAAATTTTCATTAAGTGAAGTCTAAAAGAAAATAAATAAATATATGAAGAAATCAAAGAGATTCAACATATAGTATATTGATATGATTATTTTATCTACTTATCTATATAGAATAATTTTTTCGTTAAGGGGTGTTGATTCTAATATATTGGTAAGCATCTTTTTGATGAATTCGAGCAACATAGTGTCTTGAGTGTTACTTTTGAATGGTGTTAGGTCTATTGTAAAGATATATACTGATTTGTTTTACATAAAAATACTTTTTGTACACATAAGTAAAAAAAAAATGTTTATGAAGTAATGTCAGATGACATCCTTGGATAAGAGCGTCTTCGTCATTTGAAAACATATTCATATAAAATATGTTTTTATATATATACATCGAAAAAATTAAAACGAAGCGGTGTCTGATGAAACCATTAATTCTCTTTTCTTTTTTTTTACCTTGAGAATGTTGAGACTGGTTGATTGGGGTCCTCTAGATGAGAAAGAAGGCACAAATGGTGCAGTCATGTTCACAGTTCTTGTTTTGTATATTACAGCTTGAGGGGATCTGAATATTCATTAAAAAAAACCATCAGAAAAAAACATAGACATATATAATTCAGTGCCAAAATCAGAATTTTTAAAAAGAAAATACAAAAAGTATATTAGTACACATGAAAAAATTAAGAAAATTCAACATTTAAAATAATTTTGATGTCATATATACTTTGTGAAAAATTAGTAACAGCTAAATTTTCATGGAGAACACCTTTTTCCCTTTTATTAATTAATTCATTAAATAATATCAATAAAAGTTGTGTTAGAATGACAAGTTTTTCCTTCATGTTTAACCACATGTCTCAGTTTCGAGCCCAAAATATGAAGCCCAAAAATATATTATTTTATGGCACGAATTTGAACTTAATCATTTTCCATATATGAATAACACCCTATACTATATGGAAGAAAATTAATCCTTAAAAATCGTGATAGAGTGATAAGTTTCTCTTTCATTCTTAACCACATGTCGTGATTGATCCCAAGGTATGAAGTCATCTTTTCTTACGAAAACCTTTACCCCAATATTCAATTTCACGACACGAATTCAAATTTAGTCAGTTTTCCCAATACAAATAATATCAGATACCGAATGAAAAAAAAATCACAAAAAAAACTTACTTTGTAGAATGTATGTACTTCTCAACTTGTGAAGCATATGTTGTGTTGATACTTGTTGATGATATATATGTAATAAATGGAGTGTCTGTCATTTTATCAGATAATATAATTGTACCAGCTCCTTGTAATCCTTTTAGGGTATAATCTTGTTGATTACTTCCAAGGCAATATACTATTTTCCCTTTCACTTTGCTCTCATCTAAAGTCTCATAATCGCATGCACTGAAGTTTAAGAAAGAAATGAAAATTATAAATATACGAAAGGTGTGATGACAAACTGACAATATACAAACATAAATATACCATGTTTTTATAGGTATACGAGTATTTTCCTTTATGTTCGATGAAATCACATGTTATACTATAATTCATGACTAATATATGTGTTATGATCGATACATGTCCGCATTTTAAAAAGTAATGATGAGATAAGGTTAATGAGGAATAATATATTTTTTGCAAAATAAAATTGGAGGATAAGTAAAAAAAAAAAAATCTCAATTTTCATTTGAATAAACAAGTTGAATGAAAAACCTTTGATTCATTTATCATTATAGGCAGGCAGTTGTGATATTCTTAAACATGTCATATTATTAGTGTCGTTATAATATTTTTGAAATTTATGATTTAAAAAAAAAATTGAGGTTATAAACATGTCATAATGTTTATGCAAATTATAAGAACAATGCTTTTACTTATACAATATTATAAATATTTATGTAACTATAAAAACTTTTCATTATTGGTAAGGGCATCTCCAACCCTATCCTCTATTTTACTCTCCAAATATAGAGTTCTCTATTTTATCAGACAACTAACTCTAACTCAATTCTTTATTTTACTCTCTAAAAAGAAATCTTTTTCTCTTTCTTCAATATTATATTATTTTACATAAATATTCGACTTTCAAGACTATTACGTTGCTCCCATAATGCTTTATTAATGCATTACGGAGTTCAAAATGAGTAATTTTTTGTCCGTATTTTTTTTGTGTAGCTAAAAATTATTTAAATTAACAATTTCATCTTGTATCCAATTATTTCGTGTACTAATTTACTTCCCCTATTTCATTTTGAACTATTGTAAAAAGTATTTTCATGCTCATTAAAAAGTGTAGTTTAATAATTTATCACTATAACATAAAAGTAGATTGTTTGAACTATCATGTAGATTTTGTGTATTCTTCATAGTGAAAAATAATTATAATTTTAAATTAAATATTTAAAGTGACAATTTTTTTTAAAAAAATTAAAAATATTGTTAATTTGGGATGAAAATAGTATACTTATCAATAGTATGTTTTTTTAGATGTTATATTACTTAGAAAATATTCAACTATTAAAGACTTAATTAATAGTCTAATATAATATAATATTAAAAATAATTTTGAAAATTACATATTTAAAAGTGACGATTTTTTTAACAAATAAAATAGAGAATTATTAATTCGGATAAAAATAGTAACTTGTCAATAATATGTTTTTAGATGTTATATTATATTAGAAAATTAATTACAAATAATAAAGACTTAATTAATGATACAATAGAAATAATATTAAAATAATCAAAAAGTGAAATAGAGAGGTGAATAGTAGTTCTCCATATTTGGAGAACTACTATTCACCTCTCTATAAATGGAGGATAGATAGTAGTATGGAGGGGGGTTGGAGAGCACATTCTCTATTTTACTCTCTAAATATAAAAATGTACGTTTGACTTGAAACAAATTCATAAAAAAAATAATGTCACATAAATTGAGACATACCTGGAATTTCCATAATAAGATGCATTCTTTGCTTGTGCAAGAGTTCCAGAGGTTAATGGAAACCATTTTTTCGTTGGTTCAAATGTGTTGACTGAAATTCCCTATAAAAGGAAATATCTATTAATTTATCATATAGAACTTGTAATTACAACAATTGTTCTTTACTTATTATGTGTAGAGGTGTTAAATCGACAAATTCAGTTAAATTTGAAAGAGTTAGTCATTGTTCTTGATGAAATTATTTTTCGTGGAGTTTTTTTGGTTTTCCATCAAGTATTCGAAGCTCATATTCAATCTCCGACTAAATTTGGATCGCGCACTGCATGACTCACTCGAGGGTGATGCTCCCAACATGATTTTCTCCATATCCAGGACTCGAACTCGAGATCTCTGGATAAGGGTGAAACAATCTCGCCCCTACACCACAACTCATGTTGGTAGTGAAATTTATTACTACTATAGAACAATGACTATTTTTCAATGACAGAGGCCGATTATGTAACACAAGCATATATATAAGTGAAATAAAAGAGTTTGTGTAACTTACAGAAATAGCCACTCCATTACCCAACATAGCATCAGTCTCAAATTTTCTATCAGAGCTAGTAGCAGCCACTGTGAAAATCCATGGTGCTACATTTTCAATAGTTCCCAAATCAGGCCCACTATTTCCAGCAGCACAACATGTCAAAATCCCCTTTTTTAGGGCATGAAATGCTCCAATAGCAATCGAATCCTCGAAAAAATTGCGCCCTCCGCCTCCGACGGAGAGGGAAATTATGTCCACCCCGTCGGAGATGGCAGCGTCGAACGCGGCTAAAAGGTCGCTGTCCGTGCACCCCATGGACCAACACGCTTTGTAGGTGGCAATGCGTGCGGATGGGACCCCTCCGCGTGCAGTGCCTTCTGCTATACCGTACAAGCTAGCGCCTGGGACGGGAACTCCACCGACCGTGGACGCCACGTGGGTCCCGTGGCCTTCGAAATCAGCCGGGGAGAGCTCGCCATCATTTCCCGCGCCTTCGAGATTGAAAAATTGTGCTCCGATCACTTTGCTGTTCATTTATAGAAATGTTAATACGAGTTTAACTTCTATACACTAACATAAAAGAATCACTATAAAAATCATGAATTATTGGTCGTATTCAATATTTACGTCAAATCAAACAATTTAATATTAGTAGTTACAAATTGAAGTAAAACTTTGTATCACATAACTAAAATTAAGCAATAACTTGTATTCATTAAATTGAGGAAAATATCGACTTACTTGTTGCATTTAGTGAAGTTGGCACCTTGGCCACATTTGCCTTTCCATTTTGAAGGTGGAGGCCCAAAGCCTTTATCATTGAAACTTTCTGATTGAATCCATATTCCTAAAATATGTAAATTGCAAATAAATAAATGCAAGTATTGGTGACGTACCAATAATATGTTGATCAAGTGATTGAATGAAATCCATTATATTTTATTATTTTATAGTGTGAGTCAGTTTGCACACACCTAGTGAAATGAGATAGATTAATAAGAATTTTATATTAATAAGTTCTAAATTTTAAAAAAGATATGTATTCGGAATAAATTATGTATACATATCCATAGATTTCTAAACATAATAAATATAAGGTTTTAGCCAAAACTAATAGAATTCGTTAAATACGTAACCGTAACTCTAGCTCTGCCTCTGCCACCACCAAATATTACTATCTCCCACCAATACAAATACTACATAAATTTTTTTCTTAATTGTTTATAATGGATGCTGACCTGTATTCCTAAAAGCATATACACATATCATGACGATGGTGTTAACGCTAGTTCAAATGTGCATTAATAATTCTATCTCGCATAAGCGGATTCATAATTTTGTATATGAGTTTTGGATTCTAGAAAGAAACTTGTTGAAGTATGATATTTCTTAACAAATACAATTTTCCAGAATATGTAGCTAGAACTCTAGCCCCGCCTCTAATCTCTATCATCAGATACCTACTATCTCCCACCCGTACAAATACCGTATCAAATAATTTTTGGTAATTTGTTAAACAATGGATACTAACCTGTATCAATAACACCAACAATAATATCACTTTCAACTTGATTTCTTTCAACATTCAATGGCATGCCAATAAAATCCCATGATCTTGTAGTACGAAGTTGTCGAATTGTGCTTGGAAACACTGAAATAACATCTTCTCTATCTGAAAAAAATAACAATATCATACTAAATTAAATTAAAAAATGACGATTTTGTTTTAAAAAAAATTAAAATTAATTGATATTCGATATTATTTCATACGAGATAGAAGGTCTGCTTCTTCTGGCAATAATTTTGTCACGAACCCGTTAAAACTTTTTTCGTAACTGTGTAGTACCCTCGGTAGTTGTGCTACTGCTAAACTGAAAATCGAAAAAAATCATTGAGAAAAATTAAATAAAACAAACAAATATTTTAAGACTCGAATAACTAATTAAAATTTTCTTTCAGAAGATTACTGACGTACACATAATTTTTCATAGGGGTATTGACATTTTACAAAGTGAACACATGAACAAAAAAAACACTATTCAAATGGTATTTACTATAACTCTGACTAGTATTTATATTTTGAAATATAATAATAATAATAATAATAATAATAATAATAATAATAATAATAATAATAATAATAATAATAATAATAATAATAATAATAATAATAATAATAATAATAATAATAATAATAATAATAATAATAATAATAATAATAATAATAATAATAATAATAATAATAATAATAATAATAATAATAATAATAATAATAATAATAATAATAATAATAATAATAATAATAATAATAATAATAATAATAATAGTTTTTCATAAGAAATATAACTAATTAAATACTCCATTAGTGCATTCATTTTGAATCAAATAATAATTGAAGCAAAATGTCTTATTTTTGTTACTAGGGTTGTCTTGAGTAGCAACTTAATCCAGCCTAAAACAAGTATCTGAAACCAGGTGAAAATCAAAATAATATGTATACTGGCAATCAATCGTACTCAACAAACTTTCGATGATTAACAACTATATCAACAATCAACAATAATAATAAATTCACACACACACACACACACACACACACACACACATATATATATATATATATATATAGAGGTAGAAATATATTTACTTTGATCCAAATGCTTGTTTGAGGATGTTGTTGTGATTGCTAAACAAGGACCTTGTGTCCTTTGGAAGTTCTCCCATATACACAATATATGACTGCAAATTACACATTAATTATAATAACATGATCATTAAAAAAAAAACTAAAACAAAAAAAAACTTTAAAAAATGGAAAATATAATGAAACAACATCAACAATAACCAACAATATATTCAATGTAATTCCACAAATTGAATCTAAGGAGGGTGGTGCGTACATAGCTTACCCCTACCTCGTGAAGATAAAAGTAGTTTCCAATAGAACATCCATTTAAATAAATCATAATAAACAAGTATGAAAGTGGATCGAGGATACAACAATGAAGTAGACATGCTAAACACACCGAAAAATAACATTAATAGAAGAATTTTACAAAAATAAATTACCTTTCTTTGATTGTCATTATTTGGATTTGCACTAACTAGAAGACACAAATTGAAGATGAAAATGAAAATACTTCTCCACATTTTCTGTCTTTAAACTTCAATTATAATTATTTTTGTAGATTTAATTTAGTTGTAAGAGTTGTGAAGATTTAGATTTATATTGCTTTGAATGTGATTATTTTTTTCCATAACTACTGGGACGTGTTGAACTAATCTTTCGGATAAATGATTATTTATTAATATTTTTGTTTTTATTTTAATTATTCTTTTAGATCTAGTTATGTGTTTGTGTATATTATTATACGTAGATTAAATAAAATTTTGAATTATTTTGTGTTTGTGGAGTGGTTGGTGGTTAAAAAGATCCATTTATGTCTCTTTCCACAAATTCTGGGATATATAATTAATCTTGTAGCATAAATTTATCATTTATGTAAAGTTGTCATTTGTGTATTTTTTACTGTCGGTATTTTCTATTTATATCCTCATTATTTTTATTATATAAATGACGTAGATATGCCATTTTTGGCTAACCGAAGTGAAATAATCACTTTTTTTTTTATTAAAATAAAAATAATGTACGAGTATATTTGATTAATCTCACAAAGTTATAACAATAATAATCTGGAAGGGTAGAGTTACAAAAATTGAATCATTATCTCGTGAAGATAGATATATACTGTAATAAAAAATCTTCAATTCAAGAGCATCAAATTCAAGTATAAAGAAGAAAACAATATATAAAACATATAGAAGAAACTAAAAACAAAGTTAAGCAAAGCCAACATGAGAGGAATAAAAACATCTGAATGTACATGATTTTCTTTTTATAAACATAATAAATATGCAATTGGAATAAATCAACAATGGTATACATATAAAATTACAACGGGTTGATATGCTGCCAAACATATTTATACATCAAGAATTCACTTTTTCTAACTGAAAATGAGGTATATACTTTCAAATTCGTCTAAAAGTGATTTTCCACACATTTATTAAAAATAACAATAAATAAAGCATAAGGTCAAAATACTCTCAAACGTTTGATTATATCTACCATAATATGTTTTATCACACGTCAAGTGATATTCAATTATCTTAATTACATGACTCGATAACGATATGCAACGCACGTGTCAAGAAATAAGTTATAAGAAAACGGGCAAACCATTTAAAATTAGTAAAAATTGGACAAGTTGGCTTATGATCCGATTCTTAGCTCAACTCAGTCTAATTCGAAACAATCCAAGTAACTTTTGATTACTCGGCCTATTTTGACATGTTCAATATTTTCAGCCCAACTCGGTCATTTGAAACTCATCTCGATTTATGTGCACGGTAACAAATCATCAAGACATACTGATCTATTAGGTTTATAATTAATGTGGTAATTATGAACTTGTTATCATGTATTATCTTGAGATTAAATTAATCAGTATGTTATTTGCTTTTACCCTATATAATGCTTCAAAATACCTTGCTCCAAATCAAATCAAGTAAAAGTTATATGATCGTCATTTCATTTTACTTGTCATCCTTACTTTACTCGTCTAGGATATAAAGTTCAGTGCCAAAAAATAATAATAAGGAAGGCTCCTGTGAAGTTTGCAACATTTGTTGTTGTTCAATACTGGCCAATTATCCTGGGTAATTGTCCCTATTTCTAATTCTCACTAGCACTAATAATTTATTTTTACTAGAATTTTTTGATAATTTATTGTCAAATATTCATCATTAAATATAATTAATAACCGATTTCACAATGAAAAGCTGATTATTTTTATTTTTAAAAATATTTTCAGTTGCAGATTTTCCATTGTTTTTGTGTTGTGGGTCTCAAACCTGTTTGTTTATTACATTTACTAAGAAACACATTGACATACTTTAAAATATACTTTCCACGTCCGTTGTGAAATCATAAATGTAACTTTGTAGGTAATGCAAGTTATACCCTAAAAAGTAACAAACATTATTAAAGGAAATGACAAATATGGAAAAAAAATTAAACATCCATCTTGAATTTTGAACAATTCAATTATTTTGAACAATGAAAAAAGCCCCAAATATTCAATTAGGCTTATAATTTATATGGTAATTAATAGTCAACTTGGTTTTACATTTTAATTAATTAATGAGATGACATTAATGAAATAGGATTTGCTTTTTTACCCCTATATAATATTGTAGAATACGTTGCCTCAAATTAAATCAAGTAAAATTTATATTAATTGGTATCTTTTGTGAAAAATGGGGAAGGCTCTTATGAACTTTGCAACATTTGTTGTTGCCCTATTGCTAATCATCATGGGTAATTTTCCATCATTAAATTTTAGTTTATGCTTAATTATCATTATAATATTATTTTTTAAAATAATGACAGAATAATTTGTTTAAATATTTTCAGTTGCAGATTTTCCATCCAACAAGGTGGATGCTACCCATTGTGATTTCAAAAAAGATTGTAACTGTTTTGAGTCTCCAAATCTTCCTATTCCTCTTTGTATTTTTCATAAATGCCTTTGCATTGCCAAGTCAGAGTTTGAAGACTAAAGTGGCTTTAGTAGTCAAGAATTGATGATGTCGGGATAAAAATTTATTCGCGCTTGATATTTATATTTATATGTATCATGTGCAGGATAAGTTTTTATTGTCTATGTATCGACTCTTGTTGGTGTATGTTTTGATTTCCTTAATAAATGTGGACTTCGAGACTCTTATAGTTCTCTCGGATTATTTGTCATTTGAAAAAGTCAAGAACAAATCAGTTTTTTTTTTTTAGTTTTTTTTTAGTAATAATTGTTCTTGAAGACTATAAACATCTTAGGATGATATATAAATAAAGTAAATAATCAATAAAGTGAGAATATATCTTAAAAAATAGATAAGAGTAAAATAGTTAAAATTCCTCCTACTTAATATTTTTAAGGGTGTGTAAAAGAAAAAACATGACAAATAATTTAAAACGGGAGCACATGTTGCCATTATTATGCTATTTGCAAATGAATTGATGCTTTAGTACTATTTTTTTTTTCACAACATCAAATTTATGCTACCCAAAAAAGATTTATTACTGCTCTTTTGTCAAAATAAATAAATAAAACAATAAATCAATATTTAAAACTCAGTTGTTCAACTAATTTTGATTTGTGTCGTATAGAGTACTCCATTTAAGGAAAATTTATTCCATTCACGGGGCCTCAACTATGAAATCTTTGATTAAATAAGGAAAGACAAACTCGTATACATTCATGGGTGGTTATAAATATTAAATAGAAAAGTATCTAAAGATTTTTTATTGGTCAGTTTTAGCTACATACTTAGTGTAAAAGATGAATTTAATTTAGCTGGTTAAAATTAACTGAATTAATAAATGAATAAATCATTAATCTGGTCAAACTTGTATGAATTGAACAAGACATATATATTTATATAGGAACATGTAATTGTGTATAACAAAAGTTTTGAATAATATCATTATTATCTTTAAATTTTGGTTAGATGGTCAGATTTGTTCCCATAGTGTCACATTCCTTTTTTCATTGTTAGAAAAAGAGGAGAGAAAAAGTTTTTTCAATTAAAGTGGCGATATTGAATACAAATTATTTTATTTATAGAGTTATCATTTAAAATTGAGGTATAGTGTTTTAAGTCATTTTTTTGAATTCCTAATTAAAAGAAAATAACTTTAAATTGATCTTGGATAAATAGTTTGCCTAGTGTTCGCTTAAATTGTTAAATTTCAATAGTCATAACTAAGACATAAAATTACAACTTTAATTTCGACATACACCTATCAAGACGTATAAACACAACCTCTGCTTATGTATTGTACCTTAATTTTGAGCCTATTTGTCTATAGGATTAAAGATTTATATTTTTAAAAGAAACTTGGATCAAGACGCGCAAACACAACCTCGCCATTTTATTAATTCTCTTTATCTAAGGCGCAATATTATGGCCTTAATTAATACGATATGTTATGTGCGCTCTTGCTAGAGCTTTATACTTGAAACAATTATTCTCTGTTAAAATTGGGACAAATAATTTATCCACTGTGTTAAGGGTTATGCACAAATTGTGCGTAAAGGCGTCAGATCCATGGGCTAATATACACGAAAAACGGTATAAGTTGAGTAATTTCTAAACATTGATTTATAAATGCAAGAATATGCTTGTAAAAAATGGTGGGACTATATGCAATGCTTCCCCAATTCATTAAGAAGGTCCTCATATAATTTTTTTAGAGAAAAATTTCAGGTGCCCCAAAGACGCCAGATCCATGAGCGGCGAAAGTCGGGTGCCCAACCCATTTTAAATGGATAAATATGAATTGGTACCCATACAAATTACTCATTATGTCATCCCTAAGTGAGAGTTAAAGCTCCTCTCCATCAACATATATGCTACATGTGATTCCACTTTGAGTGAGGCTAACTTGGTCATTTTATATATTATTTGGTGCTTCTTATGCTTGTGCCCCTCATTTACATTTTTAGGTGATAATTTCAAAAGTGCTAATTATTCAAATTTATGATTTTACTTTGAATTATTTATATTTTCAAGAATTGTTTGAGAATAATTGAAAGGACAAAAGTGAAAAGTTGTGTTCAATTTATGTCTTAAACATTTTTACTTAATGGATATGCATTGTC